TTGTTCTTTAATAATCTCGATTATTTTGGCTATACTAGAGAACTTTTGAATGAATATAAAGACAACGAACTGTATTTCTCAAATGTAATATTTGTATACTTGTATACATAAATAATATATGATTAAAATAATGGTAGGTACTGCTAATATAATTTTTAGGGGAATTTAATTTGTAATGTAGTTTCATTAGAAAATATTAAAATAAATACTTGGTGATTTTAAGAGGAATTATTTTAATGATATTAAGTTTTTTGTAAGGAAAATTAATCATTTTGTCTAGTTAATTAACAAAATACTATGTGAATATTCCTTGAATTTTTGAACTGGTGGAAATGATTACGACTATTAATTTCAAAATATTTTTTTTTTAGTTATCTGAATATAAATCATTAAATCATTGAAATTGTACATTAATGAAGTGAAACATATTTTTTATGATATATCATTAAATATATTTTAAATCAAAAACCTAAAGTAAGATTGTAATGTGTTATAGTCATATAACTTTCATAAGTAATGATAGTTACTAAAAAAAGGAAAACAGTTTGTACTTATTAAAATAGTTAAATACAAAGTTTTTTTTTATGGTGTACATAAGACTTTTATTACATTTATCAATGTGTTTTATAGAGAAATGATTATTATTATTTATTTATTTATTTTTTTTTTAATTTAAGTTTGAAACAACTTTGGAGTATAAGATTTTTTTTTATTGTTGATGGAATGTATATAATCTTAAGAAGTAGCTCATAACGTTTGTTTCATTTTCTTAATATATGCCTATAGTATTAAAGCAGAGGTTTTTTTTGACGTTTTCAGCATACTTACCACAAAGAATATCATTGAAATAACTTGTTCGTTATTATTATTATTATTATTATTATTGATATTTCATAAAGGAATTTCCACTTTGTTAATTAAGTATCAATGTTTCCCCGGAGAGCAGAAATCGATAACAACAAGGTTTAAAAATCCCAAACGGGAAAAATATTGATTTATTCAGTGTTTTGAAAAATTCTGTTTACACTCTAAGGGATGCTGTGGGTCACGAAAATATAAAATATGCGATATACGTCTCCAATGTATGCATTAAACGAAATCGCATATTTATGTATTTTATGCATACACTTTCCAATTATCTCGTATAATATATTGTTTCGAATTTGAAGAAAAAATTCTCCAGGTGAACAACTTCTTAACAACTTATAGAAAACTCAATTATTTTTAACTTAAAACGTTTCTCCATGGTAGTGGTTACTAAATTAAATTCGCTTTCAAAGATTCTAAATTATCTCGTTACTATGCACAAAATCATCATTATGAAAAGCAGTTAAGTTATAAAAAATTATATAAACACGATACCTATATTATAATAATAGGTACACATACTAGGTTGTTATTTTTAAAATTAATGTATATTATGTATAGCGTTGTTCGAGGTAAATTTTGTTCAAAAGAAAAAATAATAATAGCAATCCAAAATGGTGTGGCTTATATTGTTATTATTATTATTATACATTTTCGTCGTGGATAAAATGCCGAGTAAAAGATATGCCTACCGAAAATGTGCGTAGAAATAGCGTTCGTAAAAGAAAGATTTAATGTGATACACTACAAAGTCGCGTTCGCAGCATACATTTTGCATTGTTCTATGCGGGCCACAAAACGCTTGTGCTTTAAATAGATAATTAATAAAACTGTCTGTGTGTTAGCGCACGGCAGTCCGCCATATACAGTAACGTGTTGGGATTGTATACCCTTGTAATTGTGTGGTCAAATGGAAAGTTCTGCCGGAGTCTGGAATGATGCTGTGGTCGTGTAACGAGATCGGACGAGTAAAATGAGTTCATTGCTCGCAGCGAGAAAGAATACAAGCACGTAGCCTTAATTTTCAATAGGAAGGGTAGCGAAATAAATTAAGGATGGTTTGGTCGAATTAAGTGCGGTGGAAGAAACGAGGGGTTGTTAGTAAAAGTGATGGACATGTTGACTTGCCGCGAGAGGGTGGTGAACCGGTACTAGTGGTAAACGGAGAAAAGTTGTTCGGCTTGTATGCGTATAAATATTCTGTGTGTTTGTGTTGACCCGTGTAATAACGTATAATACGGAAAAGGACGTGCGTATGACGAGAAATCGTTAAATTGTTGAATCGCACGAGATGAAACTGTATGTAGTCTTTCTACGGCAGAAAATGTTACCGGGTAATCATCTGATGTTTTTAGTCATTACACATTCTTATTACTTTTGACCACGACACCGTTATTAAAATACTATTTACTTTAACTTGATACAGACAGTAGTTTTGTGAATGACAAATCACGTATTTTGTATTACATTAGAAAATATTATGGAGTTGAAATAACTTAAAGCTGAAAAGTGAGAATGGAACGCTTGTGTCTTATATAGACATTAAAATGTATTTAAAGGGAGTTGGAAGTTTTAATTTTTGATTTGTACATAAATGATTTTCATAAAATTGATAAACATAACATGATATAAGTAGTTGATCTGGGAAGGCACTACACTTAATAATTAAAAGCTTAAAAGAGTTCGGTAGACATATCTTGACCCCACTTCGTTTGAGTCTTCTTAAAGGATCATCGGGAAAACTAAGAAAAGAAAAGTGTTTAATTAGTAGGTTCAAGAGGTTTTTATTTTTTGATGAAAAAAAATATACTCTGGCAAATCGACTTAAAATTTGTGTTATATCATAGTAATCATATTTTAAACGTTAAATTCGAATTCAAATACTAGAGGGATATTGTTATGGGGATTTTCGTGAAACCGAACGGTTAAGTTGTTAAAATTATACTTTGAGAATTTAATTAAAAAGACGATCAGTGTAAATCGGTTTATCGATTCAAATAAAAAAATAATCATGATTTCGTGTTGGCGTTGTTTTGAACAGAGACTGTGCAGTGTAATAAATTGTTCGACGAAAAACAAGTACACGGCAGTGGCCAATGGTTCTTTATAGCATTGTTCAGTGGTACTGAAATAATAATACGGCATGAGGGACTGTGACTGCTGTAGTTCTGAGGAAAATCCTAATATTCTCGCTATCGTTTACACGTAATTATACAGGTAAAGTTTATACCGTTAATACCGGTTTTTAATTGTCGATAATCGGATTTTATCCTAACATAGTTTTCGATGTTATTTTGTCGATCGTTTTTTCGTCGACTTTCATCGGACGGACATCGTCTGCGAAGCAAGGGTGTACAGTGTACACACAAGGAAATACAAAAGATAGATATCGTGGCATACAATGTATATATATATTTTTCAATTAGGTTCAGTGCAACTAAATTTAGTATAACGATTAAAGATGAAATTAATACGTTTGGTTAGGTTATGTGTAAAATAATTTTAAAGTATTTATATGTATATATATATATATATATATATATATATATATATATATATATATTTTTTTAACTGTCAAATGAGAGTTTAAAATAAATTTGAACTCGAAGATAATCGTGTAAAATATCGGTGATACCCCAAATTGCCTTGGACTCAATTCATCGATAGTACTCTGTAGGAATGTATTAAATTTCCCACGCGAGATATTGCTGAATAAAAATCACTATGCTTCGCGACACGAACAAAATTATAGTGGTCCGTAAATTACAACATGAACAAAATTTTATACGTGTCAAATTCCTAACTGGATAAAAATTGAAACTAATGCAAATTTTTTTTTAACTTAATCGCCACTCAGGACTGACAACTTAAATTTAGTTGATGACTCGGTGTGGTTAAAATATATTAGTTATAGCGTTACATAAAAAAAATTTTAATTTCTAACTCGATTTTCAATTTTATGTAGAGTATTGAATTTGAGTACTGAATACACAGCAACCATATAAATAAAAATATTATATTATCCATTTGTACATAAAATTATTCAGTTCAGAAAGTAATGCGTTAAATTTTATTGTCATGTAAGACAATTCATACTTTTATTGTTTTTGTTCGTGTAGGGGTTTGCGTATTTTTAAACTTTTTTTTCGTGTCTGAACTCATGTACTGGTATATTTTTGTTGGTGCAGGAACAGGACAAACCTTTCCTGTAGCGTACTGTTTTCTCTTAGATTTTGCCAGTGTATCGCTGTGACCCGGAATGATCTACGATAAAATGTTGATACGTCATTGGTGACGTGTATAATGCCTATACGTACGTGATACTGCTTGACGTTCTTCGTATTATTACATTGCCACTGTATTATGTTGTTATCTTGAGTATTATAGGAATCGCGTGGGCAATAAAACAAATTACGACCGGCCAGCCGGCCCCTCCTCCCCCCGGGATTACGTTATTGTTATTATTGTTATTGAGACCGGCTGTATACATTATACGGTAAAATATTATTACGCGGTCTTGGAAGAAAAGCATGGTATACGCGACGTAGGGCGTATCGTTCGATCTCGGACTCAGCGGCAATGGAGGTGGTGGTGGCGAAATGAATTGGTCTCGGACACGCGGCTTGTACATATACATATTGTATACGTACATACCTGCCGGAGAAAGACGAGGAAAGTGCACCCCGGGGACTGTCGTCGGCGGACAGTGGTGGAGAGGTGAAAAAGTTCTTGAAATTACGCTGACGTATATACCGTCCGGGGTCGTCCCCGGAGAGCCGTTGCCGGTGAAAAACAGGCAATTTTTCCCGTGGCTTGCCCTACGCCCTACCGCCGACTATCCTTGACATTGACGGGATCCCGTGACTGAGTTCCCCGGGGGGTCAGCGGATGCGAGGGCCGAGTGGAAACCCGGGGAAAAAACGGCAAAGTTTCCGGACATTAAACGTCAGAACCCGTCGCCGTCACTATGTAATAATATGCCGTGCACGACGCTACTACAGCCATTGTCTGCCGGCCGCGTATATTACGTGTCTTATGTTTGTGTGCGTACACGTATAGGTAGTTTATCATTAAAAAATAAAAATGAAAACAAACAACGGGATGGAAAAAGAAAAAAACAAAACGGTACAAACTTTCAACGTCCGTGGCCGGCAATTGCCGCGGTCGCTGTCCTGCGTTCTCCCGTCATCGTCACACGCACCGCGCTCCTTTCTCACTAGACGCCTGCTGCTTGAACCCTTCAAAGTTTTGACAGCGAATTGCATTTTTCTCCCTCTATCACGAATGGCACACCCTCTCCCACCCGAACGGTACACACTTAACTTCAAGCCGATCGTTTTCGCCCGAATCGCCGACGGGTCACGTCGTACGCGAATGTATCACACCAACGTCCGCCGACGTCTGTGCCTGGAGTACGCAATGAATTGACTCGACGATATTCACACGACGTTATGGCTCTAACACGGTCGACACCGTGCTGTTTCCAATGAAATAAAAATAAATGTACGCAGGTAAATATCACACGCTTACACCGGCAGACCCGTGAAGGACGATGCGAACGATTTTTATTGTTTTCGTACACGTTACGACTGCAAGACTGCGATCGCGTGTCGTTTAACTGAATGCTGCGTCCGGCGCGTAGACGAATTGACGACAACCGCGTTTGTCGTAGTCGACCGATGACCGCGGTGACCGATTGCGGTATTTGCCGGTCGGGAAAAACAATAGCGACAACAATCGATCGCTTGCATTGCGTAACATTATGGGTACTGCACCGCAAGTGCGCGCCACAATTTTAACGAAGATATTGTCCTGTGATAATAGCGTGTATTGCTGTAACCATATTGGATAGTACAATGAAAGGCGAGCGTAGCAGATTTATAGATAGTGGATTTTTTCGCTCAAGCTGTACGCAGGCCACGACGAAAGTCTATTCCGAATGTGTATACTACGGAGACGTGTAACTAAACGGATCGTGATTGGGGGTGGGAATATAGGTTATATATATAGGTTTATGGTAAGAATCGGCAAAATGAGATATCATGATATTTTGTCAAGCGCACATGCTAATCCATCCATTCTTTAAACCACCGTTTTCCTCGACATGTTTTATATAATATATGTATATTGAATTAGCGTTTAACTGAGTGATTTCCTTTTATCCACCTTGGTGAAAGACAAATAGGGTGTACGCCAGGTATGGAGATGATGATGATGGGGTTATCTACATTCGGCCTTAAGCCTAGATTTTATTACGTAGTGTTTCCTCCGTGGTTGCCGTGAAACGTCCAAAGACGCACTGCGGGCCGTAACGGGTAACTGACCAAGCAAATATGATATCGTAGTAACATTTACGATTTTGTACTTTGGCGTAATCTCAATGTGATCACATTTTAAGCACGTTTCCTGAAATGTATGTTTTCACTTAACATCATTTAAATATTTGTTTTAGTTTTCATTATTTATTCTGGTAATGTAACTTACTTATTATGAAAATTGCGCACGACAATGAGCTATACGAATAATAACGAGCCTTCAACACATTATCGTAGGATATAATGTTATTTGTACATTCAATCTTAACTAAAAGTCAGTAGCACTCGCTTGTGATTACGATGCGCCCACGTTTGTGTGCTTACTGCCGTCGCAAAACAGTTAACTCTGGACCGGATTATACATCGATTAATATGTATCATGTTTACATATGTTATGTGTACACTTCAAGCGTCCAAGTATTTGAAAACACTTTTAATTTTCCGTATTGCTCGTCTGCGTGATTTTTATATACTACGAATTAAAATTTGGGTTGCGATTGTTTCCCAAGTCATACACGCGCGTGTCCATGTGCGTATAAATAAGCATTACATAGGTATACGTATGTATTATGTTTGTTTTGAACGGAGCATCCGAGTTGAGTCCCGAGTACTAGGGACTAATCACAGGTAGTGTACTAGTTGAGTCCCGGATTTTTATAGGTACTACACTAATTGGGTCCCAGATTTTTATAGGTACTACACTAGTTGGGTTCTGAATTATTTTAGGTATAATACTAGTTCCTGAATAGTTTTTGCTAAGTACTACATTATAATGAAATTGTCCTTCTTATTTTGACAAACTTAGGACTATCTATAATCTATTTAGACTACAGGTATGTTTAAAAATGTATTTTTATAGTTTTTTTTTTTGACTATTAATTTTCTTTTCCATTAAAATATAAATTATTAGAATTGAGTTGATAAAAATATTAAAAATGTTAAAATTATTATATAACATAAATAAAAATTAATGGAAAAAAAACTAAAAAACAAAAAAAAAAACTATAAAAAACATTTTTAACCATATCTGTGGTCTAAATAGATTATAGACAGTCCAAAGTCTGTTAAATGGGAAGAAAAATTTTAGTAAAATGTAGTACTTACCAAAAAATATTCAGAAATTAGTGCAGTACCTATAAAAATTCGGGACCCATCTAGTGTAGTACCTATAAAAATCCGGGATCCAACTAGTGTAATACCTAAAACAATTCGAGACCCAACTAGTGTAGTCATTTTAAATTCGGAACCCAATTCGGATGCAGCCGTTCTGGAATTGAAATTTCGTTTTGATACACGTCGTTTTATTCTTTTGTGTAGTCCCGGTAAACGTTTGGCAGTTTTCGTTTGCAATATAAGACCCTGAAAAGTTAAATTTATTCAAAAGGACTACAACGGAAAATACCGCGTTTCGCAGCATAAACATAGAGTTTCCGTCATTGTCAATGGTACACCGTGTGGCATAATTCTCTTAAACCGACTACTCCGGCAACTTTATATTTATGACTCGAATTTCGTTTCTGATACGCCCCACGTATATATGCACGTATATATATATATATATGAATAAAGTAATCACCGTACAGGATCCGGGACTCAGTGCACGAACTATATATACATTATACGTGTTAAGAAAAATAAAAAATAGAAATGTATTATATAGTATATTATACACGTAAAAATAATATCTCTCTTTATTTTACAATGTATATTTTCAATCCTCATTTCTGGATTTGAGAAAAATCTATCGAAACATATTAATATAATATATATATATTTATTTATATAACATATTTATATGTACATATTATATTAAAAAATTATTGATTGTTTTAATAAAGACGTCCACTCCGTTTATACAATATTTTATATACAAGCCTGTTCAGTGAGGTCCCTTATCTTTCTGAAGAAATAAAGGTCAATAAAAATAACAATATGCACACGAATACTTAAACAATATTATTATATTTACTGACAGACTATAATTCGTTGTAGGTTATTTTATTTACCTACTGTACAGCTACGCAGAATATTTGTATAAGGCTTATTTTATCAACTTATTTTATTTCATTTTCTTATCATGATCCTCAAAATGTATTATTCAAGTATATTTTATAGATTGAGTTGCTGAATAGAACCAAGATTCGATCCAGCGTGACGTTTTTTTTTCTACTAATTTTCTTTACATAAATATATGCTAAATTAAATTAAATCCTACGATAAATGTTCAAATAAAATATTTTAAAATTATTTTTATTGTCATTATTCAAATAAATATACTAGTTACAAAATATAAAAAGTTATCAAAATTTATAATTTTTGCTTTTGCATTAGCAAAATTTTTTACAATATAAACTACATTAAATGTTTTCCTAATTTATATTTGATTGCTATCATAGCAAATATATTTATTATATTATCAACCATGGTTGACCTAGTTTTTTATAAGTTTAATTATTGAATAATTCTGTTCTTTACTGGATACAGTTATTGCTAATAACGTATTGGTAATGTTAAAAGTACGATACAGTATACATATTTATATAACACAATATATATATATTTAGGGAAAATTCTGTATTTATAAAAACATTGAATATTTTGATGGGAATCATTTTCGTCAAAACTTTTAATTCATCTACAATTTCGATTCCGGTAGCACGAGTTATGTCAATGCTCATTGCTTTTTTGTCTTTGATTTTTATAAGTTCATACAAAAATAAAACTATTTCGATATGTTCTTTTTATTAGGTATTTATTATTAACTCGATCAAAAATAATGTTGAGAGTAGAATGTAAAATAATTAATTTTCAATTTTGTTAACTAGGTAGATTGATTATCTGGTTAATACCAAAAAATCACTGAAAAAATTAATTTTATTTATTAATATGCTTCTAAAGACATTCTGATTAAAATGGGTCTTCCTCGATCTTTGATATCCGGCATACCGACAATTTCAATACAACCATAGAAAAAAAAAAAAAATCCTCTGTTCGGAATTAGTTAAAACGTGATTTCACTGTTAAACTCCATATTTTATTCTTTTAAAACCTGCCCAGTTTCTTGTGTTGTTTCGTTATTCGAAATTAATGTTTTTTGTAGTTGTTACATCACCCATGAAGTGTTAGATTTGTACATTTTTCATTAGAGATAATGTGATCGGTGTATCGCGGTATTGCTTTGCAGTTGCCGGTAGCTTTAAATACGTTTACAAGTAGGGTTGTAAAATTTCATGAAAATTTCTTGAAATATATAATTTGAGTGAAAAATAAAAATGTTGTTTCATTTCAGTAAAAATATAATGCTTTATGTTTTATTTTTTATAGAATACTTTTTGTATTATTAACTGTACTAAATAGAAATAAAAACTAATTTATATAAATTAACAATTAACACCATATTAGTTTATAGTTATTATAATTTATAAATATTGATTTAAGAGGTAAGATACCAATAGTCATTGGTCCAAAGAACATCCAAGAAATCCAACAATCCAAAGAAATTTTACAAAATATGGATGAATTTATAAATAAGTTGCCAGTAGTCCCATTACTCATCAGCTATCACATTATTTCAGAAGTTTCTCATCAAAAAAATATATCGGTACCTAGTGAGTTTAAAAGTTAAGCACATATTTATAAAATTTATTATGAATATTGTGAAACATACAATATTATACCAGCATCTGGAAATGTATTTAAAGAAAGATGAAAATTACAATTCAATATTGGAGTACAATATTGCATTGTATTTATACACAAATAATAAATAAAATAAATATATATATATATGTATATATAAATATGTATAAAAGATAATAAACATAATGTAATTAAATAAATCTAATTTAATAAAAATAAAAATTAGCTCCTTTGCATAGTTAAACAAATAACTCAACAGTATAAAATATAAAATCATAATAATTAGCCATTAGGTAAATATACATTTTTAAATACTATACTATTGAAAGTATGGAAATTAAAATTAAAATTACTGAATTCATTTAATATAAATATTTTATTTAAAGATAACAATATAATAAAATTAAAATAAGCTCCTTTGCATAGTTAAACAAATCATAAATTAGGGATGTATAATGTTCTCGTTAATATACTCAAGAAAGTATGGAAATTAAAATTTAGATGGCTAAAAACACTTCAGAAAACTTGACTAGTAACATGTAAATAAATCACAGGCGATTAGAACTATTACTTATTAGACGAATATTATCATAAAAATAGCTGCTATCAATAATAATGC